CTAGATACTGAAGATGTTGCCAACTCAAATGTTACAAGTGTCACTTCACTCCCAAGCGACACATGTCCCGCATGGAACACCAAAAAATGCCCGCCAACGCCTACGAAGAAAGTGTCTACATTTCAATTTGGGAGTTTGGAACCACAATTGATAAGGGCTTTATTTCACGAGGAGGAAGTCATACACGATGAAAACCCCATTTCTGCTATTGAGGATGATGGAGAATGGATTCTAGTGACACGTCGGCAGAGACAGAGGGGACGTGTTGACAAACTTCATGTAATTCCATCACGAAACCCACAGCCAATAAAATACATTCACCGTGCCAAATCGAACAAAGGCTCGAAGGTGAGTGATGATGCTTCAAGAAAATCTTACGGAAGTTCGGTTCACAAGCACGTGACTTTGAAAGAGTTCTTTCCGAAAGAGTTTTTCATGCAAAAAGTTGAAAGAGCATACGTTAATTCGGATGAGAGCGACCATCAACATTATATTCCTTGTTGTGCTGCTATGACTTTCACGGACGATGACTTGTTGTTGGGATCTAAACCTCACAATCGTCCGCTCTTTGTTTCGGGATTCATACACGAGCAAAAAATTAACCGTATACTCGTAGATGGAGGGTCAGCTGTCAATATCTTACCAAAATCCACCATGAGACAGTTGGGGATTGCTACCGAAGATTTGTCTCGCAGTCGCCTTACTATTCAAGGATTTAACCAAGAAGGCCAAAGAGCTATTGGGATGGTTCGTTTAGACCTCACAATTGAAGAGCTAGCGGCAAGTACACTATTCCATGTGATTGATGCAAGAACCTCTTATCACTTGTTATTAGGAAGGCCATGGATTCACGAAAATGGAATTGTCCCATCTACCCTTCATCAATGCTTCAAATACCTGAGGAATGGAGAAATGATGAAGGTCGATGCTAATGCGAAGCCCTTTACCGAGGCAGAATCACACTTTGCGGATGCCAAATTGTATCTAGAGTCAAACCTGAAGTGCGAAACGGTGATTTCAAAGGCGCCGATATGTCACCCTATTAATGGAAGTCATTTGGAACTCGTACCGACGAAGATTGGTTGCACAGAGAACGAGAAGGTGGCCACTTCAGTTGAAGCTCCGATGAGCAAAAATGATGGAGCTGTGAGAAAATTGAGTTTGCCAGTGTTTCGTTGCGCTCCCCAGTCACGCCGAAGAAGCCAAATTTTGTTCAGTGAGTGCACCACATTATTAGAGGATGGACAAGAACGACCGAAGGAGCAAGAGCCAAGCCATTGCCACCTCATTAGGGAAGATTTAATCATGCCTATTATCGGCTTAAGTCCATTGGCGCATGAGCAGACGCGTGACGTTGTACCCCATTCTCAATGGCCTAGGGAGGCGTAATGATCCAAAATCATATAATTTATTAGCTAAGTCTGGTTACAACTTCTCTAATCCATCTCGGCTAGGCGAACTAAAACCTGAGTTGACGGGCGAAAAGATTCATGGGTTAAATGAAACACAAAGGACATTAAGAAAACAAGGTTTTCGCGTTAATCAACCCAGAGTCGGTTTGGGATTCACACCCATCGAGCCAGTTAGAATACGCGTATCAAGGAAAGGAGAGTGCGCCAACGTCCATCATATCACCATAAAGGGTGTTGGAAATCAAAAGAAGACTAGCGGTCGCATTTCTGCTTTTGATCGAATTGGGGCTCCTACCACCCAATCTTCTGTCTTTGAAAGACTTGACACTCATGTTGCGCGACCCTCGGTCTTTGAAAGGCTTGGTCCTTCTAATAATGTCTCGAGTGTTCACGATAGAATTTCTACAGATACTCGTTCAGTGTACTCACGACTGGGAAATCACAATAGGAACCAACACGGAAAAAAAGTGCGAGAGGATGAGATAGATGTGTTTGAATCAACGGGTGAAGCTCAAGCTCATCAAATGCTTCAATCACGTCAAAAAGGACCAACCACTCTTAGTTATTGCCATGAATGGATCAGTGAAGGTGAAACAACGTGTTACCAGCCATCATGCCTCTAAAGAGAACGGGAATCGAAGCGAAGACGAAGTCGAAATTGTCGTCAGCAGTCATTATGCAAGTATTGTTGATGATCAAGAGGAAGTTTCGGAAGATGAAATACAAGAGGCCCCTGTACAACTGGAGGATGGCGGGCAAGCTACTGTTGATGAGTTAAAGGAACTGAACCTGGGCACATTAGATGACCCCCGCCCAATATTCGTGAGTGCAATTTTGAGTCCTGAAGAGGAGGGACAATATCTTGAGATATTAGGCGAATACAAAGATGTGTTTGCGTGGACGTACAAAGAAATGCCCGGGCTGGATCCCAAAATCGCAATCCATCACCTTGGTATAAGAAATGGAGCGCGCCCCGTAAAACAATCGCAACGTGTACTTCGTTCCGAGTTAATTCCTCGAATTGAAACCGAAGTCAACAAGCTCATAGATGCTGGATTCATCAGGGAGGTCAAATATCCAACTTGGATCTCTAGCATTGTGTCAGTCAAGAAGAAGAATGGTCAAATACGCATTTGCGTTGATTTTCGGGACTTGAACAAGGCTTGTCCTAAGGATGATTTCCCCTTACCTATCATCGAGCTCATGGTTGATGCGACAACCGGACATGAAGCATTATCTTTTATGGATGGCTCTTCCGGCTATAATCAAATTAGAATGGCTCCGGAAGATGAAGAATACACGGCATTTCGCACACCAAAGGGAATTTACTGCTACAAAGTAATGCCCTTTGGACTAAAGAATGCAGGCGCTACCTACCAGCGTGCCATGCAAAACATCTTTGACGATATGCTGCACAAAAGAGTGGAGTGTTATGTTGATGACCTCGTTGTCAAAACAAAGAAGAGAGATGACCATTTGAGGGACCTTCGGATTGTATTCGAGCGCTTGAGAAAATACAACTTAAAGATGAATCCTCTTAAGTGTGCTTTTGGTGTCTCTTCCGGCAAGTTTCTTGGCTTCATAGTCCGTCATCGTGGTATAGAGGTTGACCCATCCAAGATAGATGCCATTCAAAAGATGCCTGCGCCTAGAAATTTGAAAGGGTTGAGAAGTTTACAAGGAAATTTCGCTTTCATAAGAAGGTTTATATCAAATCTCGCTGGGAGATGTCAACCATTCAATCATCTCATGAAGAAAGATGCACCTTTCGAATGGGACGAAGGATGTCAAAATGCTTTTGAAAACATAAAGAAGTACTTATCAAATCCGCCCGTCTTAGGGGCTCCTATACCCGAAAAGCCACTCATATTATACATAGCAGCTCAAGAAAGGTCCGTCGGTGCTCTTATGGCTCAAGAAAATGAAAGCGGCAAAGAGTGTGCCTTGTACTACTTGAGTAGAACTCTAACGGAGAATGAATTGAGATACTCCCCGGTGGAGAAAATTTGCTTGGCACTATTCTATGCGATTAAGAAATTGAGGCATTACTTTGAAGCGTACTCCATACGACTCATTTCACGTGCCGATCCAGTCAAATTTGTGATGTCAAAACCAGTGTTATCTGGAAGATTAGCAAAATGGTCTATCATGTTCAATCAATACGAGATCACGTATGTGCCTCAAAAATCTGTTAAAGGGCAGGCACTAGCTAATTTTCTAGCCGACCACCCTATTCCGGCAGAGTGGGAGTTATCCGATGACCTTCCTGATGAAGATATTTTCTTTACCGAAGTTCTTCCGGCATGGGAAATGTTCTTTGACGGGGCCGCACGGTCTGATGGATCGGGGGCAGGAGTTGTTTTTGTGTCACCCGAGAAACAAGTTTTGACATACTCGGTGGTACTGGGCGAGCTCTGCTCCAATAATGTGGCCGAGTATCAAGCTTTGATCATTGGTCTTGAAATGGCTTTAGAAATGGATATTATAGAGATTGAAGTTTATGGTGACTCAAAGTTGGTTATCAACCAACTTTTGAAAGTATACGAGGTTAGGAAAGAAGACCTTATTCCTTTCTGCCAACACGCTTCGGACTTGATAGCGAAATTTGAAAAGGTCGTGTTGAATCACATTCCGAGGAAAGATAATAGGATGGCCGATGCGCTAGCTAATCTAGCAACCGTTTTAGCTTTGTCGGAAGGAGAGACAACAAATGTTCCCGTGTGTAATCGTTGGATTGTCCCGTCATTCATTGAAGTTAGTCATGAAGATGCTAACGCTACATCAATTTCAATCAATGATGATCAAGATTGGAGAATACCATTGATCAATTACTTGAGAAATGGAGAATTACCCAGCGAAGTTCGTCATAAGATGGGAGTAAGAAAAAGGGCGCCTTGTTTCATCCTTTACAAGGATACGCTTTATCGTCGGTCTTTTGAAGGCAATTACCAGCGTTGTTTGTACGGTGAAGAGACGGCTGAAGCAATGAATGAAGCACATTCCGGGGTTTGTGGTGCTCATCAGTCCGGTCCGAAGCTACACTTTCAAATTAAAAGAATGGGCTATTATTGGCCTACGATGGTCAAAGATTGCTTGGATTATGCGAGGAGATGTGAGGCTTGTCAACTACACGCGAACTTCATACACCAACCTCCGGAGCCCTTACATCCTACAGTCGCCTCGTGGCCATTTGATCCGTGGGGTCTTGACGTCGTGGGACCTATTTCTCCTAAGTCGTCGGGAGGTCACGCTTATATATTGGCAGCTACTGACTACTTCTCCAAATGGGCGGAGGCTGTTCCTTTGAAGGAAGTGAAGAAGGAAACAGTGGTCGAGTTTATTCGTTCCCATCTTATCTTTAGGTACGGAATACCTCGATACATCATTACCGATAATGGAAAACCAATTTATAACAAGTTGGTGGATAAGTTATGCGTGCAATTTGGGTTTAAGCAACACAACTCCTCAATGTATAATGCGGCTGCGAATGGTCTAGCAGAGGCGTTTAACAAAACTTTGTGCAACCTTTTGAAGAAAGTGGTCTCAAAGTCAAAGAAAGATTGGCACGAGAGGGTCGGGGAAGCTTTATGGGCGTATAGGACGACATATCGGACTGCCACTCAAGCCACTCCGTACTCCTTGGTTTATGGGGTAGAAGCTATCCTTCCACTTGAGAAAA